TACCATTTCTAACATTGTCCATGTAGGTCGCAGAGCAAATGGTAAGTAGAGATTATTCAATTGAATTTACAAACTCTAGCCTTTAGTGTCGAGGAAGGATAGTGCCAAGCAAGGGTCGAAACGTATGTCCAATCCTTCAGAATCAGCAGTGCGCTCAAGTGATATCGGTCCTAGTTCCTCAATAGCAGTTGATGGTAAATACAGCATAGTCGATTCAATGTGCTAATGAGTTTGTTTTTAGTAGCACGGGAGGATACCATCTCAATCGAAGGGAGATATTTGGACATGCATATGGATCCGCCAGTGGACTCTACTTGGCTGCAAGAGTCATCAGAGCTGGTGGAGGCTACTATCCATATCAACGCCAAGCAAGCTGACCACGCTCCACTTGATGCTGCCCATACCACTGAGTCAATCTTGTCCACGTATCCAACTGACGGTGACCAGGCGCCATTGGACCCACATGAGGCCGCCCCAGCCGCCGAGCCGGTCGTATCCTCATTTCCAATGGACTCAACGTGTGCCCAATCGTCTGACTACGCGCCGTTGGAACCTCCCTACACCGCCCCTGCTGCCTGTTCGGTCATGTCCACTTTGCCAACGGAGGCACCAGCTGAAATGGCGTGTGATCACATGCCATCGGAACCACCCCATGCCACTGTTGAGCCAGTTGTACCAGAGTCTACAGCTGAAATGGCATGTGCCCACACGCCATCGGATGCGATTGACCCCACATTGCAGAGGAGAGTATTTCCGCCCTTCACGTTTCCTCGACCAAAACCCTCTCAACGACCATCGGGAGCAACATTCGCTAATATTGTAGATGGTAAAATTGACTTGTACCATTTTTTATGCTGATGCATTTCATTTCAGAGTCACGGCGAAGGTACTGTATCGTTTTTGATCTGAACGGTGTCCTTTTCTCCCATGAGTGTGGCTCGTCCTCAAATGTCATTGCACCCTCCAAAACCTGCGGTCGCAAGTTGGTCAAAAGAGACAGATTCACATTAATCACACGGGAGAAACTGCGGGATCTAATAATGACCATGCGACACTTAAAACAGAGGGCCGGGTTCAATTTGCAATTGGGAGTTTGGATATCCATGATGCGCCACAATGCATTAACGTTGCTACAGATGATGCACGATCAGACGCGAGTAATATTACCATTTGACTTTCTCCTAACGCAGGAGGATTGCTTGACTATGGTCCATGTGAGGGGTAGCAAGCCCATCTTCGTCAAGCCAGAGGCTGTAGTGATGAACCGGACTGCTAGCTCAAGTGAAATCCTCATCATCGATGACTCGCCGATTAAAACTGCAGCGAACACGCACACATATGCAGTGCACCCCATCTCTTGCAGTATGGAAACTAGGGAGAAGAAACCGTATGTTCTGGGGGACCTTGCAAAACGGCTTGGAGCGATGGTGATAGAGAACCGGCCAGTCTAGGAGGTGGCTGCAGAAATCAACCAAATGGCAGATGGAACGGTATATCAGAAGCCATTTGATCGGACAGACACCAGTCATCATTTATGGCATGTATATTGTCTAGCCAAGCACTATCCGCATCTCCATAATCTGCTCAACCGGATGGGTTCTTCGACCACTGAACATGAGCGTGGACGTATTAGAGAAGAGATGGCATTACTATTGGGTTTAAATCCTGATAGTGTGGAGAGTGATGAAATTCCAAGATTATTGTATAGGCGTTGGAGGCAAAAAATAACAGTCTGAGATGGCATGTATTTATTTAAAAATGTAACTTATTATGGCATGGGGTTCCATGCAATTGTATTAATATTAAAAGACAATTCTTTGAGAGGATTTGCATTATACTAGAAGTGTTACAGCATGTTATTGGAAGTCTACGAAGTTGTTTTATTAATAATGGGAAAGTAAAGATTGAATGGGGACTTGGGCTCCACCTAGACTCGGAGCAACTGAGCCAATATTAAAAGGATGGAAAGAAATTGGACGACGATGACAAGGAGAAGAGAGAGGTGAAGCAGTGGCAGGGGGAGGAGAAGTGATTGAGTAGACATTTCCTTGTTTAAAATAAAATGGCATGTGCCTCAATGCAGTTGAATTTTGTTATATTTATATACTATATAAAGGTTTGGAAACCTTATTTTACAAGTGGGATAATGACAATTCCCACTTTAACGAAATAGAGCTTAGATGCAAAAGTAAGTTTTGCTGATGGTCGTAAGTTTGAATCAATAATGGTCTTAGAGGATGGCTAGAGATAGGATATATCATTTGCTACAATAGCATTTGGTGGACAACAATATATATATATACCTATATATATTTGTATATATATACACATATATTACCCTACCTAAATAATATGCTAAGTATAGTACTATAGCCTATAAATCATTTATTTAGGACTAAATTTGGTCCATCCATTCATATATATGAGTAGAGGTTTAAACCCAATTAATATATTTATTCCACTCATATACTTATATTTTTAAATAATTTGTTGCGTGTTACATATAACAATGCTTGGTTTGCTCAATAGTAGTATTATTCCTATTTAATAACTTTATTAATAAAAAATTATAAACATATAAATACAAGATTAATTTTATTGAATATTAAATCATTAGATGATAAAGTAAATTAGAATATGCTTAGAAGTGTTTAGGAAAGTTTATAACTTATAAATACAAGATTAATCTAAATAAATAACAACCATTAGATGGTAGAATATCCTAAAATATCCAGCCATATTCAAATTAAACAAACCAAAAAAGACTTAAAAGACTTGTGTTGTAGTATTGATCTAAAGCAAGCTTTTTGAGTTAGCAAACCCAAAAGACTTGATTCATCATCGAGCTTAAAGGTCCTATAGTGTGTCTTCCCACAGATTCATCTTCATGATCTAGAACAAATTCATGCAAGCTATTACAGATTAATCCTGTCTCTGCTGCAATTGAACTTTAGAGCTTTGATGAATGGTGTTTGTATGCTTGAGGCTCCACTGATCTAGTAGCTTCTTCTGCAGGTGCTCCAAGATTCGCAACCACCTTGAACTGGAGATAGGGGCTTAGAAACATCAGCTTCCTGTTGCTATCCCAAAGCGGGTGCATGGATGACCAGGATGTGTGTGAGCAGGATCCAAGCTCCTCCATGATTTCTTGGCTTGCAACCATCGCCTCAAACTTCTTCAGATACAGCTCATTCACTTAGGCCATGAAAGCCACCATAGCAGCTTGGGCATTTGATCTGTAAGAGTGTCCAGACTCTCCAGTGTGGACTCCAGCAGCTTGGATTGCACAATCCAGGTTGCCAGCACCTTGGAATTGGAAGGCCTGTGCCACCCAAAGCAGGAAACAACAAAACTTGTGGTATAAGGTTTGGAGGTACATGATAAAGTGCCCAGGTGGCATGGAGGCTTCAGTGATGCCTAGAGGGATCTACAATCTAGCATTTATGGTTGAGATCAAAGTGGATCGTGGTGTCTTCCGTGGCATCTGATCGAACACATGTTGTGCCTCCTCCATATGACAAGCCACCAGCATTACCACCCAAGTGAAGCCGTTCTTCTCTCTGACGTCGTTGAAAGCTCTCCAAGTTATGGAGTAGGAGTGTTTAAGGATTTGTGGCCCATCCTTGTATTTATCTGTGTTTACTAGCTAATAGTGATCTTTAGAAGTTTGTGGGATCTTTCTATGTATTTGAGAGACCCTTCTACAGCATGTTCCAGTGCCTCAACTCCCTCACCGTGGGGTTTCTTATGGAGAGACTTTAACATGTCTTATGGTTCTTATGGCCCGAAGAGTTTTGTGAGTTTCTTAGGGAGACTTTAACGTGTCTTTTCCACTTGTGCCCATGCCTTTGGCAACTCTTTTGGGGCTGCATGTGGGCAAGATCAATGCTCAAGAGCCTTGGTCAATGCTTTTGTAGTTTGGGCCAGTGACACGTGGACCAGTCACAATGAGTTCAATTCATCAACCTTACCTTAGGAGTTCAGTTATGATATGCTAGTCTTTTATTAGTTTTTCTAAAAATAGATCTAGCTGCTCCAGGAATCTTGGAACCATCAAAGTGGCTCACATGACAAATTGGTCAATCTTGGATAGGAGGGGAGGTACACATGGAAACTGTCAGCAGTAAATAGCAATTTCTGGGCAGCAGGTGAGCCTCCAATAGCAAAGAGTGGATTTTAGTGCCTCGTACTCAGCTGTGAGCAACATAGGACATTCCGAAGGTTGAGTTACAAATAGACCACCATATAAGTCTGGTTTATAAATAAAAAAACCTATAAACAAATAATATCCATTTTAAAATAAGTTTTTGCACTTTGCTTGGTTTACTTAATACTAGTGTTATTCTTATTATTAGTCCAATTGATCAAATGGAAATTATAAATATGTTTATAAATCATAAATGCAAGATTAATCTAAATGAATAACAACCGTTAGATGGTAAAATATCCTATATAATAAATCACAAACAAACCAAAAAAGCTTCACATTAGCAATATTTTAATATCTCACAAAGATAATATGTAAGGAAGAATTTCATCTCTCTTAGTTTTTCTTTTAAAATTGAAAATTTTCTAAAACCATTGACAAAGAGCAAATTTAAGAATTAGTACAATAAAATCAGGTGTTCCTTATAGACAAATAAATTGCTAAATATTGGATTGAGGAAACTTGATATTCCTCAAGAAAAAAGGTGGTAGAATCTTTATTATCCTACATAAGTTATTTTGTGCCTCTTCCATGTTGGCTGTTTGTATGTATTTATGTAATGCCTTTTTGAAAGGTTCCTGTTTAGAGTCGTTTAACACAAGCTCATGGTGCGTGGATCATTACAAAAGCAATCTCTAGGTAGATGCGCAGGCGGTTGTGCGTTTCAGGGGTAGAACCGATGATCAAATAGATCCATACTCTGAACTGGGGCGAAGACATCTACTCATCCAGTCTCGCCAAGCCTGACTTATAGTACAGCTCATAGCTTGATATTCCTAAAGAAAGAAATGGAACAATTCTCAATTTGAAGTTATGACTATTTCATTTGATGGCCACACATACGATTACACAAAACAAGGTGAAAGAAAATCACGAAACAACGATGAAACTAGAAACCTGTTAGCTTCCTTCTTCGGACTAGACTGCTTGATTTTTAGAAGCTCCAATTCACATGGTTATTACGTTCCCGCGACCAAATCCATCCTGCAAGGAAGAGGACAACATCAAAAAATCAATCTCTCGCACTCGCATACCTGGATGAGTGTTGTCGACGATGCAGAGTTTGGCGTACTGCCGTGAAGCCGAGCGGAGACAAATTCCTAGTCCGAGTCGTCGTACACGCCCTCGTCGTCGGAGATCTCATCGAAGGTCCTCATGTCCAGCTGGTAGCGCAAGATCCCTCCGATCCCTCCAAAGCCCCGGCAAAACTGCGACCCCTCCTGGGACTTGTTGGTGATGAACTCGAGCGTGCACCCAAACCGCCGGTACTCGTTCGCAAACCACTCGAGCAGCGCGATCTTGTCCTGCACCTCCAGCTCCGCCTGCGTCTCCGGGTCCCGGAAGTGCGACTGGTCCGACTCGTGCTCCTTGCTCAGGTGCTTGATGATGATCTCCCCGCTCACCGAGTGCTTGAGCGTGTAGCGCATCACCTCCAGCGCCTCCCACACGATGAGCGTCTCCACCGCCCCCATCTCCAGCGCCTTGAGCGTGTCATCGATGCCAAACACGTACTTGCCCGTGTCCTGGCTGATCTCCTCAAAGTACTTGCCAATCAGCCGCTTCTCCTGGATGAACTTGACGTTGGACAGGATCTCGGCCGAGAGCTCGATCGCCTGGTTGAACCCATTCTCCCCGCCGTAGGAAACGTCCACCACGTTGAGCACCTTGGTCTGGAGCCGTGGATCAAACATGTCCGACTGCCCGAGCTCCGTCTTGAAGTCCGCCGACCCCGCGAGGATGAGCCCGGCAACGTTGGGCTGGCTCGTCACCGGGTTGACGAAGAACTGCGTCGCTAGCTCCGCGGTCTTCCTCACGTAGTTGTGCCTCTTCTCCATCCGGAGCCTCGCGAAACGCAGCGCCGACTGCCCTCCACGGCCGTGCTTCTTGGGCAGATCCACCGTGAACTTGTGGAGAACCTCGCGAGTGTTGCCGCTGAGCGTGCCAAAGAGGGTCCCGTTTCCATCCATGATGATGAAGCCGAACTTCTCGTCGGACTCCAGGAGCTCGTTGAGCGCCTCGGTGTGGAACTTGTTGTCGCAGAGGTAGAGCGACGCGTTGATGGGCTTGAAAGGCTCGAAGTCGATGGTCACCTTCTTCTCCTTGCCGTCCTCGGTGACGATGGTGCCCGTGTAGAGCACCAGGCCATTGGGCGGCACCTTGTTGTAGAGCTTGAGGCGCTGCTGGGCGGAGGTGATGGCGCCGAGCACCGACTGGCGATTCACGCGGTTCTTGATGTTGGAGGCCGTGCCGAATTCGTCGCCAAGCATCTTCTGGACGCGATTGACCTGGTCGCGCGGCGGCATGATGAGCGAGATCATGCTGGTGCCGTTGCCCCTCGCGGATTCCAGCGCCTTGATCAGCTTTTTGATCTTCCATATCTCGATGTTCTTGTCGGTCTCAGCGCCGTCCGCCATCCCTGGCAAGGAGAGAGGAGAGATGGATCAGAGAATGGAATCGAGAATTCGCGTCTTACCGCTCGACCGCGCTCCGCTGCTGGACGCCACACTGCCCACCGCCAGAGAAAACCCTAACCCTACGAGGGGGATGAGGGGCGAATATCCACCGGCATCTTCCAAGAGTTTGTTTGAGCTTTGGCCTCTCGGAAATTCTCGAGCGCCTCGCGGACACGTCTCAAGCTGGGAAAAGAAAGTCACGATCAGCGCATTCTTCCACTCTCACTGGACGACGATCACTCGAGAAAACCGGAGGAGAGATTTCATACTTACTTCGATACGCTTGACCACTTCTCGAGCAGGCGATCGGCTTCCAGGAACTTTAGCGGCGAATCGGCCAAGCCCAAGACGAGAGCTTTCCAGTCTTGTCGCTGGAAGAGCTCCTTCGCGAGATCTAGATCCGGTTGTTCCACTGCGGCGCGGACGAAGCCGGAGAGATCTTGTTTGAGCTGCTTTGGATCCAATCGCCAGGCTTGCAATCTGGGAGGAGCGATGGTGTCAATCCAACTTACTTGGAAAGTTGGAATGGACTGACCTGGAGGATGGAGCGAGCTTGGAGTAGAGCTTTTCCTCGCGGAGGATGTCCAGTAGCTCGATGATTCTTCCAGTGGCAGCGTCGCTGGACGATCCGGGATTTTTTACGTAGAGCATGCACGACGATGGTGTCTTGAGCTTGCAGCGAGGAATGTCCGTGGCCACCTTGAGCACGGCCTCGATGAGAGGAAGAGCTTGGTCACCTGGGAGAGAAGGAAAGAAACTTATAAGAACACGAAGAACGCGAACGATTCCATAGGAAGCTGGCATACCTTGTCCATTCTTGACGAATCCTTTGCAAGTCTCGGCGAGCTTCTCCAGGCACGACATGGAAATGCAGGATCCATATTCCACTCGCTCTTGCGATACAGCGAGATTATCGTCGAGATTCTTGCCCTGGCATCTGTCCATCTCTGGAATCCCCTGTCCCACGCAGCCGGGCCGAGAATCGCCGTGGAATGCCGCCGATGAGAGAATGGACACCAGCGCCTCGATGGAGAATGCCGTCGTTCTTGGATAGAGCTGCAAGGAATGGATCTATTACCGCATTGCAAGAATCACAGGCAAACTTACAGCGGCGGCAGTAAATCCCATCATTCCCAGCGCCCGATCGACCAGCGGCGATCGAGCCTGGCACGACAGCGCGCCGGGAAATGGATCGGCGGAAGGCGAGGCGCGCGACACAAGCTCTTCCAGTTGTTGCATCTCCTAGAACCCTAGCCGCATATTCTCCTAATTGAAATCGAACATTCCGCTAGAATCCCAACTGACAGAATAGGATTGTCCTTAATTTAAACCCACGTGGAAAACCTCGGGCAATGGCGACGATGGAGAGCCAGGCGGGGCTCGCGTTTGTTTCTCTGGCGATTCTCCTCTTCGCGATCGCTGGAGCGAATCAGGTACTCGATTTTTTATCGCCCGGGGCTCGCCGATCGTTAGGATGATCACGGGGGTTGAATCTTCTCCTTTTCGATCTTAGGCTCTCGATCGATGCAGCCTTCTCCCGATCGATCACTTCTTCCTCTTCAGCAAGCGCGTGATCACTCCCGCGGGGATAATCTCCGCTTCTGGTAATATTGGAAGGATTTTGAGCTAGTGCGCTATAGTGGTTTTGCTTGTGTAGTGGAGATTGACAATGGCAAAGTGGTATCGATTCTCGAGCGGGAAGAGGCGCCATCCAAGGAGATAAACGGCGTGCCTGTGATGGATTATGGGAATGCGGTCGTCATGCCGGGTCTCATTGATGCGTAAGAACGATTTTTCCATCTTTTCTTCTGCGGAGCTCATGGTTTTTCCTTCTTTCAAAGACAGTCATGTTCATCTAAACGAGCCAGGAAGAGAAGAATGGGAAGGATTTGTTACAGGAACTATGGCTGCCGCAGCGGGTAAGAATCTGAAACTAGAAAGCAAGTGAAATCGTTTTATGTAGTGTTGTAGAAACTTTGTTTTCTTAGGTGGAGTGACTTCTCTCGTTGACATGCCTTTGAACAATTTTCCGACCACTACGTCAAGCGAGCTTCTCAAGTTAAAGGTACTTTTCCTTCTTCGTTTTCTTGTTCTCGAACTTTGGTCGATGAACTTTGTTTGAACAGCTTGCAAGCGCAGCAGAGAAACTTATGGTCGATGTTGGTGAGGATATCTTTCCTTCTTCTTTTTTCTCCAACTTTCGCTTGACCACTTTTAGGATTTTGGGGAGGCCTTGTTCCTGAGAATGCTGCAAATCTCACGATCTTGGAAGAACTTCTTGATAGTGGAGCTTTGGGCCTCAAGGTATTAGCCGCTGCTCGTACATATGAAAATGTTTCTCAAGGCTCCGATGATTTTTACGCAGTCTTTTATGTGTCCATCAGGAATAAACGACTTCCCAATGACCACGGGTCAGCACATACAGGTAAGGTAGAACTTTTTTCAAGAGGTATTGGCTTGCAAACTGGAAACTCAATGCAGGCGGCGTTGCCCGTGTTAGCAAAGTATGGTCGCCCCTTGCTCGTCCATGCAGAAAAAGAACAACCCGGGGTTAAATCCTCTCAAGTGGACAAAGACCCCAGGCTGTATTCAACACATCTCGAGTCAAGACCAAATTCGTGGTACATGTTTTAAGCAGCTTTTTAAGTCACCGAGTGTTTTATATGTGTTTGCTTTGTTGTTCAAGGGAACAGGAGGCTATACGAGACCTACTAGATGTTGCAAAAGATACAGCTCCTGGAGGAAAAGCTGAAGGTGCTCGTGTCCATATTGTCCATTTATCTGATGCCGACGAATCCATGCAAATGATCAAGGTGACCAAAGCTTTCTGGATTTCATTTCATTGACATATGGTTACCGTCTTTCGGCAGAAAGCCAAAGCTCAAGGCTTGAATGTGTCGGTAGAAACATGCACTCACTACCTGGCATTCTCGTCGGACAACATAGGCGATGGTGATACTCGCTACAAGTGCGCCCCTCCCATTCGGAGCGAGGTCAACCGAAAGAAACTTTGGAATGCTGTGAATGTGAGTTGTTTCTCGCTTTTAGTTTTTCCAAACTTCTAGCCTTGAACTCTCTTCTCTTTCCAGGATGACTTTTTCGATCTACTCAGCTCGGATCACTCTCCGTCTCCCAGTGACATGAAGTTACCGGAAGAAGGTGACTTCATGAGAGCTTGGGGTGGAATTTCTTCGCTTCAGGTTATATAGTTTTCTACTCAAATCTAGTTTCTGACTGACGGCTTAAACTCAGTTTGTGCTTCCAGCGACTTGGACTGCCGGAATACCTCACGGACTGACGCTGGAGAAGCTCTCAAATCTGTGGAGCCGAGGTCCAGCGAAACTTGCAAACATTTACTCCTCCAAGGTACTCTCGTCTCGTATAGGATTTCTATTCAACCTTCGTGATTGCACAGGGATCTTTAGAACCAGGGAAGGATGCCGACATCGTAGTATGGGACCCGGAGAGCTCTTTCGTGATCGATGAAAACTACACCATTTTCCACAAGCACAAGGTAAGTGATTGCTTTCCACGAATTTATGTCATTTGGTTTTTCTCCAGCTCACACCATACGCGGGACAAACGTTATATGGACGAGTGATCACTACTATTGTTCGAGGCCAGCATGTATATCAGGAAGGCCACCATGCAACGCAACCGTGTGGAAAGGTGCTCCTTGCTAAATCAACGAGTTAGTTTGATCAAAGTGATTAATGAGTAAAAAATAGTTAGAAAATATTCGATAAAAAGGGGTCGCCGTTGCCGGGGATCGAACCCGGGTCGTCCGCGTGACAGGCGGAAATACTTACCACTATACTACAACGACTTCGAGCTATCACACAGGAAAATTCTAGCTAGAAGTCTGGCTGTTCTAGTTTGGTTTTCTCTTTCGCTTGCTTCGCTTTTTTCTCCCAATTGCGGCTTCTTCTTCTTCTTCGGGGTATCTTTCCTCCAATAGATCCATGGATTTCTACAGCGCAACACAAAATCGTTCAAGAAAAGATCATTCCACCGCCTACCTTGTTCATCTCCATGAAGCTCACTCCATAAAATGTTAGTGCGGCAGTAGCAACAATGCCAAGAACAGGCATTACAAGCACTGATAAATCCATGCCTTATCTCTTGTTCCCTAGAACCACACAAAACTATTTGAGATGAACTGTGAGAATAAATGATAACTATTTTAATCTTATTTTTAAAGTTAAAATAAATGGAATTGAAAAAATCTACAAAAGCATTAGAGATTTGTGTTACACTAGTGTTCCTCACTTTCTTTTTGCTGGAAACAGAGCAAAGTAAGACAATTAAGAAGAAAAAAAGTTATAAAATGAAGAGCCAAGAGCAAAACAAGGATTTTTTCTGGATTTCTATCGCAGCTCCCTGCACAGAAATAACTCGGAGCTCAAATTCCTAGAAGGAAAACTGTAGAAAAAAATAAAAATAAAAATGGAAGAGGGCGTGGGAGTGGAGAGTGGTCACTTTACATACAGATTATCAGCTACATAACCATCGAATGCCAAATCGTTGTCCACAAAGCTCATATCTTCCTGTTGTTGCTGGAAAGAGGAATCAAACGTGTCAGCAAACAGGGAGAAACGAAAGAGAAGAACTCAAACCTGCTTCAAGTAAAAGCTGAGAAGATCATCCGCGGCTGGAGCTTGCTGTTGTTGATCAATCTGGAAGCCTATCTTAGCACTTATCAACGAGTCTGATATGGTTTCCACCTTGGGCTTGAAGGAGCTCTCCGCGGTTGATTTCTCGCTGCTCTCTCGCAAGCTCCGCAGGGTGCCTGGATTCACAATGATCTCGTCCTCCAGTAACTTCTTGTGTTGCTGATGAACGTCTTGCCCGGCTACCGCGTTGTAATTGTTGGTGTGACTCCCGACCGAGTGATTGTAGCTCGGGGGGCTCATCACCGGGCTGCAAGCTTCCAGTCGTTGCTGTTCCTGCGTACCCGCCCACTCTTGAGGCCTCCGGTTCTGGTTATACACCGGCATTCCAAAGCCGGCTGAAGAAACCACTGCTCCTGGATTCAATCCCTTGACAGCCGCAACCTCTGCCGCGTCGAACGAAACCAAGGGGCCGGGGGTGACGGGTGGAAGTGGAGGAATACCGCCCAGGCTCGCTGGAGAGAAGTTGCTTTCCACTACACCCAGTAAGCCTCCGTTCTTGTTTTCCATGGCACCCGAGCTCCTCATCACCGCTGCGTTTAGCCCAGTGTAGCCAACCTCGTCGTTTAACCCGGTGTTGACTCCCAGGTTTATCTCGCTCAAGACTGTACGTTGCTGTTGTCCCAAGCCCGGCCCTGGAATTCCTATCGGTGGCTGCTGCTGTTGCTGCTGCCTTTGGTGTTGAAGTAGCTGTACCACGAGAGGATTCGAAGAACCGTTTTGATTCGGACAAAACGTCCCAGTTAGTCCCAGGTTGGTCATACCCGCTAGCTTTGGCGAGGCATTTGCAGGAACCTGTTGTTGGATCGGGTTTAGCCCATACAGAGGTACCTGCGGAGCCTGCTGTTCTATCTGATATCCACCTGAGAAAGCCGGGAAGTACGAGTTCTGGGACCCGAAAACTGGCGGTGTCATGTTTGGTCTAAACACCGGTCCGCCGCCGGAGAGCTGAAGAAGACCAGACTGATCGAGGGCGGTTGACGCTGGCAAATTGTTTGTCGTGCCTATCCTACCAAGTACCCCTTGCTGAACTGCCGGGACCGCTTGCAATGAAAATGAGCCGTGGCCCCGCCCTTCAGCAGGACCATCGACACCACCAAACGAGAAACCTGCTGAGTTTTGCGGTTGCTGAGCGCTGATCCTTTTCAGGTACAGCCGGTACTTCTGGGAAAAGAAACAGAAGAAAAGAGATTGTAGAATCTATAACCAGGAAGACACCATACCTGTAAATGACTTGCAACGTTTTCCCTGGTAAGGCCAGGAACATCCATAAGCTCCAAGATCTTTTTAGGCACGGCCTCTGCGAAACGAGAGACACAGCAACGTTAGAAGACAGTTCGAAATGAAAAAGCTTGAGCTTACTATCAATGTTGAGCTTGTTGACAGCGTTCACGAACTGCTGGTGAAGCTCCACTGACCAAACAACCCGTGGTTTCTTCAAAGACGAAGGGTCTTCGCTATCATGATCAACACCTTCGTCCTCCTCCTTCACATCTTTTCGTTTCTTCGAACACGCCGACGACAAGTGCTCAACGTCATCCCCTCCTCCGCCCTTGAGTTTATCAGCCTCGGCCGGAGTCAAGGTCTCAGTCTCCCTCGCCTCATTCTTTCTCTTCCGCACTAGGTGTTGCCATATGTTACGCAACTCCTCCATTCTAACCGGCTTGAGCAAGTAGTCGCAAGCACCGTGAGTGATCCCTTTCATCACGTTGTTATAGTCTCCATCGGTGGACATCACTGCGATGGGCAAAGAAAGCTCAAGCTAGAAAACAAGAAAACCAAAACTTACTGATGACTGGAAGATCCATCTCTAGACCCACGAGCTCGAGCAGCTTGAAACCATCCATGTCTGGCATGTAGACATCGCTTATAACCAGATCAAAGTCGTTCTTATGCTCTCGCAGCAGTGCTAGCGCCGTGGTCGCCTTGCCACACGTCGTCACTGCAAAGAACAAAAGAAACAAGCCACCCAGAATTCACAAATTCATCCTTGGAACGGAAAAATGAAGGAAAAAAAGGTAGCCAGATGAAATTTGCACTTACCGTTGTAGCGACAGCGGCGAAGCATCGCCTCAAGAATCGTGAGCGTGGTTTGATCGTCGTCAACCACCAAAACCCTCATACCAACAGGAAACTGATCCTTGGAACCATCCGTGCTCACTGTGCTAAGATTCGGGCTACTGATGTAGCCACTTTGTCCTAGATCGCCCGAAGTCATCCTCATTCTCTTGCTGGCCTCCGGCATCTAGCACAAAACGCGCAAAAGAAACTCTGCCAGAGCTCCCGATGCCATCCCCCCCACCGCCCGCGAGCTCCTAGAATCCATCCACTCCCTACCTAGAGAATGTCGGTCCCCGAGAAAATTCCCGATTGCGCCCCGAAATATCGGATGCTAGCGCCGCCCCAGCGACGATCCTGCCCTGCGAATCACTCCCGGCGCAAAAAGGCGGCCCTCCAGGGATGCGATTGGAATGACGAAAAAGAAAGGATGGAAACCCTGCCCCGGCGATTGATCCAGCGCCTAGCTCTCTCTCTCCCTCTCTCTCGATCCTGGCCGCCCTGGCGGAGACGCGACGAGCAGCATCTACATCGCACAGGCACTCGCGCTTCTCCTCCTGTGCTCCTGCGCGCTGTGCCAAGGGGAAAAATCAGTAATGGCCAGAGATTGTGACCACTTTCGTACGGCCGTCGCCGCCGTCGGGTTTTTAGGGCACTCCTGGGGAATCGAACCCCCGATCGCCGCTTTAATTTAATCCCCGCCACTTATACTATATGGGAACAGCTCACATGTTCATGTGCAAACTTTCAAGTTTGGTGGGACTAATTTTTTGCGTCTTTCTCGATCTTGTTTACAACCTTTCGTGCGACGCAATACTATAAAGGTGGTAAACCTTGGGCCGTAACTTCTATTAATATTTTACCATATAATTTGGTTCTTTCTAGTTTCCGCCCACCGCACTAGAAGTCGCAAGTGGGCTACGAGTCGCCCAGCCATTGGATATTCCCCGCGAAAAAATTCCCGAAGGGGGGTAAAAAAGGAAGAGATTCCCAATTTGTGGCGATGGGAATGAAGGGGAGATTCCTCTAGATTTACAGTGATGTGTCAGCAGTTTAAGTGCGATCAAACTGTTTAAAGTATGTAGTTTTTTAGTGTTTTTATTTATGTGTGCTGTGAGAGAATCATGTCTAGTTGGAACCCATCTTTCATATTTTATGGGTGGGATGGGATTTTGGAGATTGGGTTGGGAATGGGATCGATTCCTCTTCCGATTGTGGTGTCTAGAATCGCTTTATATTTTCTCCCCAATCTCCAAGTAGATTGGAGACTTGAGATGGATTAGCCAGCCTAGCCCAACAAAGAAACAATGCCTAAAAAACTTCAATGGTTTTTAATGGATGTAGTGTTGTGTGTGATCAGCAAACCTCCACATGTCGTCCGCGTCCGTTGGTAGAGGGTTGATTTCAAAGGGATCCACGAGTGAATCAAATCGAATCGTTTGGCTTTTTGGCGCCTTGTTTTCTTTTAAACTGACGAGCCCTAATTCTTAAAAACAGAGCCCCTGTTTTTAGGGCTTATAGCAACGTTATCGTTTTAGTTGGGATATCAAGATCTAAAACAATATGCGTTCACGTGAAATTTCAATCTGGTCATTGCTTAATCTTAAATACATATCATAATATTATTATTAAAAAATAATAATTGGTAATTTCAATCTAAAACAATATGCTTTCATGTGAAATTTCAATCTGATCATTTCTTAATCTTAAATACATATTATAATATTATTATTACAAATAGGAAAAAATAGGTAACTTCATTCATTTTAGTTTGAACCGTTATGTACAAAACTCTGGATCCGCAAGCAAATTTTAAATACATATCATAATATTATTATTACAAATAGGGAAAAATAGGTAACTTCATTAATTTTAGTTTTAACCGTCATGTACAAAACTCTGGATCCGCAAGCAAATTCATACAAACATCTTAAATACATATCATAATATTATTATTATAAATAGGGAAAAATAGGTAACCTCACTAATTTTAGTTTGAACCGTTATGTACAAAACTCTGGATCCGCAAGCAAATTCCTCATATGCTCGGCATATAAACCAACGAGGACAACCATCGTTTGATCGTCCAGCCACGGCAGAAATATCACAAGCCCCGTGAAAGCCGCCACCGGCAATCCAACAAAGACCGGCTTGCCACCACCAAAATCCACATCGTACAGTGGAAACCTCGACCAGCTCGTCAATGCCAAGTCGGTTCTAGCATCGCAAAAACTGGGGAAGACTCCCAGAGGACTTGGCTGCTGCTCGAGCCAGTGAAGCGCCGATCGCATGTACTCGTCGGTGATGAGGTGCGTGGCTTCATGCACGAGACTCGCAGAGTAACGCACTGGATTCTCCACGAGTTTCTGGCTCGACGAAGAAGTGCAAGCGTAGAAGATCACGTTTCCAAAGTATTTTTCTGGAAGAGGTGGGGTGAATCGAGTTCGTCCATCCACAGCCATCCCCAGCTTGGTTTCTTCGTGCGACTCGAGATTCCTAGCCTTGGTGACGGACTTCCAGACGTGAGCCGCGAGAGCTTCGAACTTGGTGGTTCCAGGTTCGCAGAAAGATCGCAATGCCTCGATCGCCCAGGTGGGGAACTTAAACATGCAAGCTTTGAGCTCTGGGAATGTGGCCGGAACGTTTGGACGCTGGGTCTGGTACTCGACGTGGTTGAAGAGTTTTGCCGGATCATCGACTTTGCGGAGAGTTTTGGCATCCATGAGCGAGTGATCAAAGCATGGTGCTAGAAACTCCTCTCCTTCTCCTCGCGAGACGAGCGACCAGGCCGTCAAGAAGGAGCTGGCCGAGAATCCATCGCCCACATTGTGATGGACTCCAAGAACGAGACTGGATCCTCCACACTGGAAGCGAGTGACTTGGGCAGTGACCAATGGCGCCTCCGTGATGTCTCCAGAAGTCTTGTAGATCCCGGTCGGGCTGAGAAGCTCAAACCTTGGATCGTGCTGCTCGAAGCCGCCGAAATCGTCGAGCCCTCCATCCACGAAAGCCTCGAAGAAGTCGCTCCCTTGGTCCGAGCACTCGAGCTGGAGGGCGTTGTTGGGAAGAACAGCGTAGCGGCCGGCTAGAGGGTAGAAGGTGGCCAACGTGGTGGAGAGTGACGCCTTGAGATTGTCGGTGGAAAGCTCTCTGGTGGTAGTGGGAAAGAAAAGAAGGAATTGCGTGTAGTACCTTGGGACGATTTGATCGATGTTGGAGAGGGGGTGGATTCCTCCTGGAGATGGGGCTGGGAGCTTGATCGCATATCTAGTCCTTGAAGTGATCTTCATTTGGAAACTTGGGTCTCTTGGTCACAATGCAGGAGAGATTTATAAGATTGCTTGACTTTTCTTGCAAGGGAAGTAAAGGACCGCAGTGAAATTGTGACCCTGGACACTGTGCCGCAGATGTCGACATTCTAGATTGTCATCTTCCAGCTAGATTGTCAACTTCCCGAAGTTCTGGAAGAAATCAGATTCCATTTGGATAAGCTTGATTGTTTTGGTATTTGAAAAATGTTAAAGGAGTTCTGCTCTTCTTTCCCATTCTCGCTTTTATGGGCTATGGTGTAACATCTCTCTCTCTTGCTCTTTGATCTCTCGTGTAGCATAGTGCGATTTAGCGATGGGAATTTCGGCTTCCAAAATTTTGATCGTCAACCAAACTGACAAAATTTTGTTTCTCCGTGACAATGATTATGGCATGGTGTTTTGCACACTCAGGGGCATTATACAGCCCATGAGCTCACAGTCTGTAAGTTTAAAGGTGAAAAGCGATCGCCCAAGGACCAGGACTGCCATACTTTTTAAGGCTTCTGGGATCAAAGGGGAAAGTCCTACTGGACTTCATATTATAATGGAACCTCACGTGCAAGCAGCTAGATCTTATATCGTCCTGGAAGATGAAACTGAGCGGTTCATTCTCATAGAAGAGGGCTAGCATAACACCATTTAAATTAAATTGCTCATCACACAAATCGTTCGCAAAAGTGAGAAGTTTCTTCTGCTGGTTCTCTGTAAAGGAAAAGCTATATCAGTATTGTAAATAATTTATCGGAAGAGAGTAAGCACCTCAAATTTGTGATGCTTTCAATCCAACATATTGTGAAATTTGTAAGTACGATTGATGCTTTTAATCATCTACACATGAGATCTCTGGAGATTAAGGACACCCAAACCCCAAACGCGGCAAGAGCACAATTCAAAACGAAGTACTGAAATTCTGCCCATTCTTCCCTGGTGGGACTTCTTGGTATCCTGTTCATGTAGTTCTGCAAGAGGAACTCGAGACCAATTTTTGAAATGGATCTGTTTGGAGGGTTGCAATAGAATATGTTCTTTCTCGATCTCCTTGGGTTTCTCTTCATGTCCTCCACTAAAGCTTGGTAACAGTGGACAATGTACTCCCGTTTTTTCAACTTTCTCATCATCTTGATGCAGTAATTCTGCTTCAAGATCAGTGATGCCAAAGCTGCGGCTGAGGTGGTGAGCGACACGGACGATGGAATCCACCATTTTGTGCTGGAATTCGTCATGGAGGCGAGGTGAGCGACCATGTTAAGAACCATACCGACAAACACGAAGTACATGCCCAACACTTGGTAGATCTGATTTATAGCACTGTCCAGCCTTTTCTGCACCAGCTTTTGCTGCTTCTCCCAGTGTCTAATCCCTTCCCTGTATTCCTTGAAGATATTTCTTCTGATTTTCATTGGCGCTGGTGCTTCTGCCATCTTGTGAAATTTTTCTGAATTCTGGAATGCATATCACACGTTGCACGAATCTTCTTCGAAAACCGTCTGTAATCCGACAAAATAGAAGTCCAAAAGCTACATTATTTAGTAATGTCAACGTAACTATTACAATATTTAAACTTGACATTTTCAACACTAAGAAAAGATCAAAGAATTTCATTCAACTTGCAAACTGTAAGGCGTTAAACTTGGCGTTGGCGTTGGGATTGGAAACATGGTGAGAATATATTTTTAACACATGAATCTTTTGGGGACTGCAGACACAAATATTCCAAAGCTAATGAGGACACCATCTGTAATGTAGTACTGGAACGCTGCCCACTCTGAATGTGTTGGACGTTTCGGCATTTGCGTTGAGGGGAGGAGAAACTCTTGAAGTATAGTGAGCATGCACCTGTTTGGAGGATTGTCATAGCGAATGATTAACCTTGGCCTTCTTGGATCTGTATTCCTCCTCAGGTCCTCCAACTCGTTCTGATAGTAATTGATGATGTCCTGCCGCTTTTTCAGCTTCCTCATCAGCTTAATGCAATCGTTTTGCTTCACAACCAGAGACACCAATGTCACTGCAGAGGTGATTAGTGAGACAACCACTGGAATCCACCAGTTTCGGCATGAATTCTTGGACGAGAGCTGTGCCAGAATGTTGAGGACCACACCCTCAAAAATAAAGTACATGCCCAGAACCTGGTAAATCTCACCGCTTCTCTTGTCCAGCTTCTTTTGCACCAGCGTCAGCTGCTTCTCCCAATGGCAAATCCCATCCTTGTACTCTTCAATCCTGGAATCCATGGCTGCGCTGGTCACCAAATGGGTATCCCGCCACTGCCTAGTTCATCCATGTCGTATCGTGGCTATTTCTCGATCACTCCTGGATAGAAAATATGTTAAAGAAAAGTTGACATTCTCAAGTTTGCCCGCGTCAATTGAAAATCCGTGTCACAGCAAATGCCTGCTGAATGTGTCCCCTCGCTCGATCATATATGATATAACAGCCTAGGAATCTCAACTTCTCTCCCAAGGTGATATGATTATTCCTATTAACTTGGGCCACTTGGAATTTCTATGACGATCTTATGTGACCTTGGAATGAATGACGAAAAACTGCTAATATTGATTTTAAATTTAGCCACTACATTTAAATATTAAAGTGTTTCATCCACTCCTTTCTTTCTATTTTAAATTTGATATTTAGAGGTAAAGTTCTTTGTTAAATAATTCAAAACAAAAAGTTATTTTTCTATGATTAAGAGTTTTTTAAACATATAGTAAAAAATCTAGTCAATAATAAATATTTTGATATGAAAATAACACAAAGATACATATGTACATACACACATACACACATACCCTAGCATATGTATATTGTCAAAACCCCCAACAAGATCAAGATTGGAAAATGCAAAAGACAAAGAGAAAAGCTAGTGAATAATGAAGAAAAGGCTTTAGACTGGTGTTGATTCAGATTGTGGAGAAATGAAACAAGGCTAACCTATATATACTATAGGTTGATGAAGCTCCACCACTCTTGGATCGAGGATGGCCCAAATATAGTTGAGGTTGAGGAGGCGCTACATCATCATCAGGAATGTGGTTCGAGACTCAGGAATCGTACGGGAAATCGAGAGTCAGGAATAGGGAAGTGTCTCGAGAGTTAGGAATGTGGTCTGCAGGTCAGAAATCCGGCGAGAGTCAGGAATGTGGCAAGAATTGGGGGATTCCTGACAGCATCCCCCCTTCAAGAACGAGTGGAACGAGGACGTGAATGAGAACAAGGAGGAGGATGAGATGGGAGGCGAAGGACGGGAGATGGAGAAAAAGAATGAGGACTGGGATGAGAAGGATAGTGGCGGTGGAAGTCTTGAACAAGGTCAGAAGAATGAATCAGGTTTTCCGCAGGTTCCCAAGTGCATTCTTCAGGTCCATAACCCTTCCAATCGACTAGATAGTAGAGTTTAGACCGTGAAATCTTGGAATCAAGGATGTCCTGAACCTCGTACTCAGACCCAACCTTGAGCTGCACAGGTGGAGGTGGAGGAATGACCCAATTTGGAATAGAACTAGGAATATAAAGCTCAAGGAGAGAGGAGTGAAAAACGGGGTGAATTTGATATAAGGAGGGAAGTGCAAGGCGATAAGTGACAGGATTAATGATAGCAGTGATAGGGAAAGGACCGAGGCGTTTGAAATTGAGTCTGGGACATGGCCTAGTGGTGGAGATATTTCACTTGAGGAGCCAGACTTTATCCCCGATATTGTAAAAGGGACAATCCTGACGATGGACATTGGCAAATGTTTTATGAGATTCCTGAGCACGATGGAGGTGGAAGGAGATGGAGTTGTGGATTTCCTGGAGGTTGGAGACAAATGTCTCAGAGCGGGGATTAGAATGAGAGGATTCAGATGGAAAAGGAAGTGAGAGATTGAATCGGGGATTTCGGCCAGAGTTTGCAAAGAAGGGGGAAACTCGAAGAGAGGAGTGAATAGAGTTGTTATAGGAGAACTCAGCAAGGGGAAGGATATCGAACCAGTCATCCTGATGATAGTTGATGAAGCACTTTAGGAATTGTTCCAACGTTTGAATCGTTTGCTCGGACTGTCCATCAGTTTGAGGATGATACGCCGAAGAGAGGTTGGCCTTCACTCCAAGTAGCTGCAGAAACCGTTGCCAGAAATGAGAGATGAACTGAGGTCCCCGATCTAAAACCACATCTGTAGGAATATCATGAAGTCGGAAAATTTCCCTAAATACCAGTTTTGCCATGTCCTCGCCCAAAAACTCCTTGGTACACGGCAGAAAGTGCGCCATCTTTGTGAAGTGATCCACCACGACTAAAATGTTGTTGAAGCCTCCAGAACTTGGAAGATCACTCAAGAAATCCATGGAGATGGATTCCCAAAGACTTGAAGGGACCGGGAGGGAACAAAACAAACCTGAAGGAAGGTGGTGAGGTACATTATTTTGGGCGCAAGTGTCACAAGAGGTAACAAAAACTTTGATGTAGTCGTCCATGTGAGGCCACCAAAAGTCCCGTGCAACCAGCTCATAGGTTTTTGCAATGCCGAAGTGAACAGTAGTCAGGCTATCGTGGCACGCCATTAGGACCAACCTTCGAGCATCACCTTCAAGAACATAAAGCTGCTCCCCACGGTACAACAAGCCATCTAAGAACTCAAATTCGTCAAATCGTCGACAATCGGGAGTCACTGGGTGTCCAGCCTGAAGATGGGGGAAAATGTCGCTGGCGAGGTCATTGGATTGAAGATCGTTTCTGATCGCATCCATCAAGGAGGAGTCCTAAGGGGCCAAGGAAATTGCCATAACTTGAAGCTAATTAGGACTGAGGATAACTTGATCTTGTTGATCGAAGGCAGGATTACCAAGCCTGAGGCTGAGATAGGACCACCTTGAAAGAGCATCAGGAAAGCCATGAAACTTTTCAGGTCTATACTTGATAACAAAGTCAAACCGACTCAAGAATTGTGCCCACCTTGCTTGACGACGGCTCAAAACTCAGAAAGTGGCAAAGTACTCAA